AAATATAGACTCGTTTTGGGTGCATCAGTTTTTCAATGTATGCGAGCTGATTTCTGTGTCCCAAATACGACATTTTGTCTTGTATGGGCCGATCTTTTCTTCGTCAAAAATCCGTACGCAATTTTTGCATACATTCTGCAAACATTACCATGATTTTCTAAGTAATGTCGCAAAACCATGTTCGGAAGTATAATCGTTCAAATTGGAAATGACCTAAGTTGAAGCATTCATCATATAAAAAATGTAGATTGCGGACCCTTTATATTTTCGGAAAATATGATTGATTGAAAATTGTATTATTATTGATGGGTATAATTTTTAGCATATTTTTGGGCGCTTCTAGCAAATTTTTATGTTTAAAATAAAAGGTTTATACTATAAAAAATATATAATAATAGCATAAATATAAGGATATCAACTCCCAAAAGTATGCTATAAAAATAAAAAAATATAAATGTACATGGGATTCAAACATGTTGTGTAAATTAGCCCTTGCTAATGCTTTTAAATATAAATTTTTACCAAAATCGACCACTTCTGATTATGGATTACTATTTCTCCGTTTCAGAACCTGCATGAATCTAAGAATTTTACAAAGATAACTAATTTTTTATGGTATCCAAAAAGAAAACATAGTTAGATTAGACACAGGTTCTAGAACACAAGGTATGTTTGTTTTTATTTTTTGCATTTGACCAAAAAAAATTTTTATTAAAACTATGGATGCTGTCGAATTTCAATAGAATACATGTCTATTGTTTTCTTTTTTTTCTATACTTTGAAGCCTTATTAAAAAAATCAAGTTCAAAAAATTAAACAAAAAATAAAAATAAAGTTCATTGCCAATTAAAAAAATCTGTATTTTATTTGAATTAAAAATTAAATACTAATAAAAATTTTATAAAATTTGGAAAAAATAAATTTTGAAACAAAAAAAAAATGTAAGGAAGACATAATAATTTATATATAAAGGAAAAAATATATCCAATAAAAACAAAAAAAATTGGAATTCTAAAATAAGTTGTGGTAATTTTGTAGCTTAATATAAGGTATTTTTCTAAAAATTAAAGCACAAACAAAAATATATATAAAATAATTTTTATAAAATATGTAATGTATAGGGCGACCATGGTAATATTAAATGAGGATTATGAAAACGGTGTAAATGAGAACAAACTGACAACAATTGCAATAAACTTAGAGTTTAAGTTTTTTTTTTTCTATTTTTAAATTGGAGACTAAATACATAATAATCGTAATATGCACGTTATTACTTAGAGTCTGTTGAAGAAAGTCTACAAAATTTGGGAGAGATTTTAAAGTAACTATGGGTCTATCTCGCTTCCTTCCACCTTGATCAAAAAGCTTATCTATGACCTAGGAAATTTTGACGGAGAGTTTTTATCCCGAATTCAAAATCTCATCAACAAAGTTTGGAAAATGTGACGAAATTCTTCGAAATACCAGAGTTGAGTCTATATCATTTAGGGAACATGATTAGAAAACTGAAATAACAAAAATAGGTCGGGTTATATTCTGAAAATATTAATCAAACATAAATTGCTTTAATAAAAACATGAAAATGTAACTTAACAAAATGTGTCTACCGAATACCAGTTGGGACTCTCCAACGCATTATGGTTAAATGGTTGACAGCGTTATACTCGCTTGGCTAAGGCGGCCAAATTTTAAAGATTTTGCACGAATACCCTCTTTTTCACATTCTACAACAGGCTCTTAGTTAAACATAAATTTTTTATGGTTAAAGACCCTAAAAGAAATATTTTTTTAATGTATCAAATTGTTTAAAATTGAAGAAGAGTATAAAAAATGTTTTGAAACAACATTACACATAAGTCAATAAGATTTTTTACTTGAAAACATTTTTAAAAATTATTTTTTAATGAAATTGAAATCAAATAGTAGAAAAAGTTGTAATTGTTACGCATCGACATTACTCTTTCGATAATATGCTTATAAATATTTTTTTTTATATAAATATTTAATTTCTTTTTATCCATATATAAATATAAAAATATATATATGTGTGTGTGTGTTTTATATGTATACTTATAAGCCTTCTTATAACACACTCGTACTGCTTCACTCATACTTCCTTCTTTTTGTAAAAACATTATTTTACCTTAAATTTCATTTTTAACCGCTAATAAAAACCGAAATATAATTTTTATATTTTGCAATACATTACAATAATACATAAAACATGCACATTTAATTTTGTCTTTTTTTTTTTTAATGGGAAATAATACATCGAATCGGAAATGAGTTCTGAGGGAAGAAAAGAAATTGATTTGTCTAAAAAGTTTTTAAAACATAGTTTAAAATTTACAGATAAAGTTGCTCGGAAATACATTTAATTCGATTCGAAATTTAATATATTAAGTTTTTCACGGTTGTTTAAAATTTCTTTGCTCTTAGGAAATTATATTTTGAAAATTTAATCTCAATTTCCATAAAAATGTTATTGAATTGAATTTATGTCAGAACAAGTCGAAATGGTTTTCGTCACAGAACTGACTTTTTTGAATTATGGCGCCACATCATAGCATTATTTGTATTTAATATTCAAGCAGAAGAGGATCGATTAAGGCTCTATCCATCTTTAAAACTACATATGACTGTCTATTAGTGTTCCTGCAATATGTTTGATAGAACTTCCAAGGTATTGTATTAAGCGCCTAAAAGTATAAACAAAATTGGAACCGCAAAGCAGTGTTAAACTTCTTTCTAAGTAAGAAATAAAGAAATGATTATTTCTAATTTCTGGTGGCCTAATCCTAATGATACAAATCGAAATAAGCTTGAGAAATATTGGTATTATATTCCATTAAAGTATAGGCCGACATAAAATTACATTCTGTTTCAATATGATATCCGTTGAGTATGTTCTGTGTAGGTTCCCCTAGAATTTCCCTAGCAAGAGATTTACAAGTATCGACGTAGCCAGAAAAGTCTTTCGACCGACAAGAAAAATTTAAACGGTTCTAAAAATATCTTAAAATTTACCATTTCGGAGGGGACCCGGCGCCCATAGCAAGAGATTATCCTCATTGCAATTCAAACAATACATTTTATATTTTTCAAAAAAGTATCAGGTTGAGTGCTATTAAAAATTTAAGAAATCCCCACATTTGAGATAATTTATCAAATATTCCAATTCCCTGTTAGTTTTGGAACATCATCGGATGCGTGCAGCAAAATATTGAAGCCTTGAAGGGGGTCAAAACTTCCATAGCCAAGTTAAATGTGTATCCAAAAACTGACACAGTTAGGCCAGAGTATGCGAAGATGACGAAGGGATGGAGATGAATTAATCCAACAAGAGACATGGACTATTTGGCAGGTTGGAGATAGAAACTCTAACTTTCTTTTCAAACATAGATCCCATCATCCTCATCCTCGAGTTTGCCAAAAACTTTTCCTGCCTAAGGGGCCGATTACACATTATGTTAACGTCATATGTAGAGTGACTTTCATATTATTGATTTTTCATTTTTATAGCATATCCTGAGGAGCTTCCAAAAATTGTTTTAACTTAGTATATAAATAATATACTATACATTGAATACACTTGTATTTTACTTTTTAGTATATTTATATTAATTTGAAATATGAAATTTCTTTTTGGATTAAAAATTTTAGAGAGCACCTAAAAGCATGCTATAAAAATGCTAGATATAACTGGGTAACTAAATCACTCTGCATATGACTCTAACATAATGTATAATTGGGCCTTAAGCAGACCGCCCTGCTCACTGTACTATCTCTCTCTCTCTCGCTTTCCTCTGCAAACCTTGCCTTGTCTTTTTCTATCTCTCCTCTATCACCAACAACTAATTTTTCCTAGGGTGAATGCAATGGGCCAAAAGTCTCCGAGTGAAGCAGTTGACTCTAGCACCGCATCCTTAAACCACAACATGGCCAGGCCAGCTGCTCTCTTTTTTTGCTGTCAAAACACATTTATTTCCATTTTGATAACAAATTTTAAATGCCTTAATTTTTGCAAATTCTTTGTCACATACATTAAGGCGCCATAGAAAACGGAATATTAGCCCATTCATTACAAATCGGATTGCTAACCCATTATTTTAGCACTCAAAATAAGTAGCCATTCCTTGACCAAAAATTAGTCGACAGTTATTTTTTGTGGTCATGCAATAACAACGATATTTGGATGGCATTTCTTTGTGAATATAATTGATTAGTAATCCTATTTGAGGGTTTTGCTAGGATTACACCCAAGACTTTATTAAAAAATACCTTCACAATGACTTTCGATTAGGTTGGGACAGTGAATGAATATCGGATTTGAATTCTCAAAAAAATATATATATTTGGAACTCATTGATCTTCGTAATTTTAAAATTTTTATCTATACCCTGAACACCGACAATATGTTGGAGATATATGTCAATTGATTTTTATTTTTAGTGTTTTATAGCATACTTTTAGGCGATTGTTGGTAGTGCTTAAAATATGCTATAACAACAAATAAAATTTGAACGTCACTTTACATAAAACTATAGATTGATGTTTAAACTCGCCCATCAAAACTGATGTTTTGGCAAGAAAGTGTCAACGACATTAAAATTTTCCATGTCTGACTATCTAGGAAAACTTGGCAAAAAAGACACCTTCATATGAATATGAAAATGGTCAGATCTTTTCTATTTGGGATGATTACAGGAATAAATAAACTTCCTACAAAAAATTCCAGTTTGAATAAAACCTTCTTGAAAAAATTGCCTAAATCGACCACATCTCAACTCAGCTACCACTTCCGATTACGATGTCATAAATTTCCCATTTTTTTAAAATTGTTTCAAACATAATTAGTTATCGCCAATGTTTATATAAAAAGTACATGATGTATCACTTACTCACTCATTATTACGCATGATAATGGATGATGGCCTAAGATAAATTACCTATTAACTTGGTTTACTCACTCACTCATTCATTCGTCCACTTATCTTCTTTCACTTATTATTGAGAATATTAAAACTATTAATCGGATTATTACTGCCAGTCAATTCGCCATTCTTTCGCTCGTGCGTTGACGAATGGGATGGCAACTGCGGGTGTTGCTGATCAGGCGTTGCTGCCACTGTTGCCAGATGCATTTGCTGATGAGGGTGACGCTGCTGCTGTTGAGGCGGCTGCTGCGACATCACTGGCGACTGGTGATGAGGATTATGATGATGATGATTATTATTATTGAATATATTTCTATACAAACGATTGAAATAGAAATTCCTACTCATTACTGTTGTCCTTACCAATGAAGGATTTTTCAGTAATTCTCACAAGGATCCGGCGCTGCCATTACTGCTGCTGTTGCCATCATAATCATCGTCCTCATAATCGTTTTCGGTGTTGCGATGTCGACGACCACGGTAGGGTTTTGAGGATAAACTGGAAGAGGAATTTGTTGTCGGATTATTGTGTTCCTCCTCCTCGCTGTTTTCCTTCTTTTCCACACTACCCGACTTTCCCGCAGATGCCGTTGATCCCACACTATGAGAGAAATGCATTAAATTTGTATCGATAACACCATTTAAACTAATCGGTGGTGTTGTGGTAGCCAATGGTGCATTTTCACACGAAAAACGACTGGTGTTGCTAAGGCTACTCGTACTCAGCTGATCATCGAATATATCAATATTGACAATTGTTGCTGCCTCATAGTTGTTGGCTCCCAATTTGGTGGAGGAACAACTTCCATCGGCATTGCCGAAACAATTGTCCATAGCATTGTGGGTTAGATATTCTATTGAGGCGGGTGTTTGCTTCTTGGCATCATCACGACCATCATCATTGTAGATGGTATTATTGTGCGTATCTGCTGCTGCTGCTGATGCGTCCTGTGTTCCTTGAGGTGGTAGTGTTCTTGTTGTTGAATCGTGTGACATTTGTTGTTGCAGGTTTTTCCATTCATTGAGTTTTTTCTTTGAGGCCATAACTGATTTAGATGTTGTTGTTGTTGCTTTGCTATCGTGGTTTGAGTTCTTTACATCAGTCGCCGCCAATTGTTTTTTGGTCAACTTATTGTGTGCCTTTTCCATGCCATCTATGTTGTCACTGCCTTGATCCGATTGGAATTGAAATTCTGAAATAAATTAAAAACGGAATTGTGAATGTTAATGAATGAGATAAAAAGTTGTGAAAATACACAATATGTTAGTCATATTTGAAGGGACTTTGATAATTATGTGTCAAAGACATTTTTATTGTATACTTTTAGGCGCTCCCTAGGACTTTCAATCTAAACAGAAAGGGCATACATTTATAGTTCAAAATTTGTTGTAGGATCCTCAAAGTATGCTATAAAAATGTAAAATGTAATAAATGATAAATTCCCCTTTCATATGACTTTAACTATGTATAATCTGAACTTTAAATTGCAGATCTTGTTGACTTATAAATATATATTATGTAGCATAGTTTTAGGCGCCAAAAAACCACATAGCATTATATAACGTGTTCATAGACCACCCAAGAGGCAATTAAAGGAAACAAACACTGCCCCACAATGACCTGCGATCGGTCTTTTGATGTCAATTTCCCGATAATATTTTGAATTTGGGTTAATATTGGTATTTCGATTATACAGCTTGAGATGAAAAAAAACTGCAACCAACTCCATACTGCTGTCATTTCTAAGCCACTCGTCCGACAGCTGTTAAAATTATTCCAGTGATAGCTCATTATATGGTTTACAAGTGTACACAAGCATTTTGGTGAGAATTTTCCAGAAAAAGTTATTCGTGATGGAATTCAAGCGAGATAGAGTGATTTCTTTATATTTGGCTGGAAAACCACAAGTGGCTATCATTAGAGCACTCCAGCATTTAAATGTGAATAAATCTTTTGTGTCTCGTATCATCGCTCGTTACCGTGATACTGGTAGCGTAGCCCGACGCCAAAGAAGTGGACGGAAGAAAACAGCAGCATCAGCAGAAATGGTTCGAAAAGTAAAGAAGCGACTTGATCGAACTCCGCGTCGCAGTGGCCGAAAAATGGCTCGTAAGCCGAACATATCGCAATATTCCATTTGGAAAATATTGCAAAATGAGCTCGGGGTACAGGCATTGAAATTCCAAAAAGTTGAAGAACTTACACCGCAACAGAAAGAAAATAGACTCAAAATAGCTAACGAGTTGCTTCGCTTGTCCGAAAGTGGTGATCTGCCGAATTTCGTTGTCCAGCAGTTTGTAAACAAACAAAATGATCGTGTTTACTTGCCAAAGAGGTCAGCTGAAAATGTGGACCTCCGGTTGGCCACCAGAGCTCAAGCACCGGCCATGGTGATGATGTGGGCCGCCATAACAGCCGATGGTCGCTCTCCGCTCGTGTTAATCGACCGTGGCATCAGAATAAATGCCGAATGTTATCGCGAAAATACCAAAGAGGTCAGCTGCTAATGTTCACCTTCGGTTGGCCACCAGAACTCAAGCGCCGCCATAACAGCCGATAGTCGCTTTCCGCTCGTATTAATCGACCGTGACATCAGAATAAATTCCGAATGTTATCGCGAAAATATTCTGGAGGGTGTATTAAAGCTTTGGGCACGCAAACATTTTGGCCGAAGACCTTGGACATTTCAATAGGACTCAGCACCATCGCACTAGTACGCGCCACCCAATAATGGTTACAAAATGAGGTAACTCGCTTTATTTCCAGCCCACAATGGCCACCAAAATTTCCGGATACCAATCCGTTGGACTATTGTGTCTGGAGTATTTTGGAAGCAAAAAAATACCAAAGTGTAGATCACCTCAAGCAAGCTCTTCGGGGATGGGCCAAAATACCGCAGACCAATATTCGGACATCGTGTGGCGATTTCATTGGCCGTTTGATGATCATAATTCGTGCCAAAGGTGACCAATTCGAAAAAAATCTAAACTTACTCTAAAAGTTGATATCCTCTGCCGGAGGATGACATTTTTGTTTCATTCAATAAAATTTAAAAAAAAATTAAAAATTATGGCGTTTGACTTTGTTGCAGTTTTTTTATCTCACCCTTAGACATCCTTTCTATGGTGACATAGTAAAATGTAAAAAAATGGTGGTACCGTTATATGAGGTCCACAGGATGGCGTGAATTCGCTAGGCAATTAGATGGAAACTGCGAACTTCAAATTCCGAATAGGAAATATTTTTGATAATGTCGAATATATGAAGGTATGGGCCCTATACGAAACTATTACCCTCTATATCCAATTATCTTCCAAAGAAAGTGGTACCTATTTAAACTCCAAACACCAAGTTTGAGATAATCCTATTGAAAATGTAATTAAAGTCATCAAAATATCGGGAGGTACTGTTATATGGCGTTGATCTGTACCGGAAATTTTCAGAGTACGCCTTATGAACTGCAAGTAGCAAATTTGAAACAATTGCGTTGAAAACAGTGACATAAACCATTAAAATGCTGAATATTGGGAAGTACAGTTGTATGGGATCTATACTAAAACTTGGACTTATATTTACAGTTCTCTGCAAGAATGTTTCCTACATACTGCGAACAAATACTCCCAATTTGCAGTAAATTCGGTCCGAAATTGTGACAAACACCCAAAAAAAAAAAAACTTAAAACTGTCGGTACAGTTATATGGGGGACATGCCTAATGGCGGACCTCTATAGAGCACATTTTCAATATCAAAAATTCTACAGAATTAAAACACATCTGTGTAAATCTTTATTTACGTACTTCATTCCGTTCGTTCATATTTTTATAATTATATAATTCAAATATATCAAGAAGATCCATTACATTCCCCCTTCAAATAAAACTGATCTATTTTATTTGTTTAGTTTTGATTCTTTATTTTTTATTGTTTTTTTTTTATGATTTTTTGCTAATTTTTTATTGCGTTTTTTGAGATATTTTTTTTTAAATTTTTATGAATATTTTTTCCAAAATTTTTAAATTTTTTTCTAGTGTTTTTTTAGAGAGGTTTTGCTTTTCATTTATCGTATATTATACTATATGTATAGATTTATAATTAATGAATAAACTGGTATGCCTACTTAAATTGTATTTACAACTATACGATGAAAATATTTAACAAAAACAACAAAAAAGTTTTAAAACTTTTCTTTGATTAAAAAAAATACCACAACATAACTTTTTGTCTTAGAGCTAAGAGAAAAAATACTAGAATTTTTCTTAAAAGAAAATTATTGTGTTATTATTTAAAAATGTTATTTGGTAATAATTAATTATGGGTTTCTTTTGGAAATTAAAAGTATATTTATTTTTAAAAAATAATAAAAGACAGGATTAGACTCATAAATACTGTAGCGCAATTATTGTTTAACACATGATTTGACAATTTCTAATGTAATTACAAAAAAATATAAAAAACGATAATTATTTTAACTACTTAAATAAATTACTACAAAATAAAAAAAAATAAACAACTTGTATACATTTCAATAATATCTTATTAGAGAATAAAACACACACAAAAAAAGTTGAGTCATTGATTGTTTTTTGCTACCAAAAAGTAGAGCAGAGTAAGCTATTTTCAATAGAGAATTAGAGAGAGAGAGAGAGAGAGAGAGACAAAAATTATTTTAAACTTAAAAATATTTGTTGTTAAGCATAGATTTTTTGTGTGATTTTCTTTGCATTATTTTTAATTTGAACTTTGTTAAAATCATTAATTTCATTACATGTTTATTTTAATATATATATTTAATAATATATTAATATAAACTAGTGTTTTTTACAATTACACAGGGTGTGTCAAAATAGGTTTGTACGGATGCAGGAGGAAATATTCAACAAAGGAAATTATATCGAAAAATGTCAATGAGACTAAAAGACATTTAGAAACAAGTAAAAAAATAGCTAAGTTCGGCCGGACTGAACTTTTAATACCCTCCAAATTTTCGAAGAAACTTGAAAAATCTAAAAAAAAAAATCCGAAAACTTCCACTTAAATGAAAACCGTTATATGGGGACTATACGAAGACGAGGACCTGCATACGGCATTTTTTGTCATAGGCTGTAATGCCCATTACGAACTTCAAATACGAAATTCGAAATAATTTCGATAAATAATGTCGTAAAAATCATGAAAATATGGAGTATCGGGAAGTACAGTCATATGGACGTGGAAGTACATACGAAGACGTGGACCTCCATACGAAATGTTTTGCCATAGGTTGTAGTAAACATCTGGATCTTCCAGTACGAAATTTCAAACGATTCTGGTGAATAATGTTGCTGAAATCATCCAAATACCGAATATCGGGAACTACCGTTATATAAGGGCTATACGAAGATTTGGACCTGCATACAAACATTTTTGTCATAGGCTATAGTACCCATTATGTACTTCAAATACGAAATTCGAAAAAATTCCGGTAAATAATGTCGCGAAAATCATTAAAATAGGGCTATACGAAACGTGGACCGATATGGTCCATTTACGAACTTAACCTGCCTACTGCTAAGCTATATATGTATGCAAAATTTTAGGCTTCTATCTCAATTGGTTCGAAAGATAGCGTGATTACAACAGGCAGACAGACGAACATCGCTAGATCGACTTAAAATTTTACGCTGATTCAGAATATCCAGGGTGAAATGAAAAAAAAAAATGGCAACCAACTTCAGATTGCTGTCATTTCTAAGCCATTCGTCCGACAGCTGTTAAAATTATTCCAGTAACAGATCCTTATATTGTTAACAAGCGTACAAAAGCATTTTGGTGAGAATTTTCCAGAAAAAATGTTATTCAAGCGGAATTCAAGCGTGATACTGTGATTTCTTTATATTTGACTGAACCACAAGTGGCTATCGTTAGAGCACACCTTTAGAGCATTTAAATGTGAATAAATCTTTTGTGTCTCGTACCATTGCTCATTACCGTGATACTAGCGTAGCGTAGCCCGACGTCAAGGAAGTGGACGGAGGAAAACGGCAACATCAGCAGAAATGATTCGAAATGTAAAGAAGCTACTTGATCGAAACCGGCGTCGCAGTGGCCGAAAAATGGCTCGTGAGCTAAACATATCGCAATGTTCCATTCGGCAAATATTGAAAAATGAGCTCGGGGTAAAACCAATGAAATTCCAACATGTGCAAGAACTTACACCGCAGCAGAAAGAAAATAGACTCAGAAGAGCTAAAGAGTCGCTTTGCTTGGCCAAAGTGGTGAACTGCCGAATTTGGTTTTCTCCGATGAGAAAACATTCGTTGTAAAGAAACAAAATGGTCGTGTTTACTTGCCAAAGAGATCAGCTGAAAATGTGCACCTTCGCTTGGCCACCAAAACTCAAGCGCCGGCCATGGTGATGGTGTGGGCCGTCATAACAGCCGATGGTCGCTCTCCGCTCGTATTTATCGACCGTGGCATCAGAATAAATGACGAATATGGTCGCGAAAATATTCTGGAGGGTGTATTAAAGCCTTGGGCACGAAACCATTTTGGCCGCAGGCCTTGGACATTCCAACACGACTCAGCACCATCGTACTCAGCACGCGCCACCCAACAATTGTTACAAAATTAGGTTCCCTGCTTCATTTGCCTCGCACAATGACTACCAAAATCTCCGGATACCAATTCGTTCGACTATTGTGTCTGGATTATTTTGGAAAGCAAGGTTGGCACTAAAAAGTACCAAAGTGTCGATCACCTCAAGTAAGCGCTTTGCCGGGAATGGGCCAAAAGACCGCAGAGTAACATTCAGGCAGTGTGTGACGGTTTCATTGGCCGTTTGTAGACCATAATTCGGGTCAAAGGTGACCAATTCGAACAAATCTAAACATAATTCTAAAATTTGATGCTATTTCCGACATTTTTTGCTTTCATGCAATAAAATTTTTTAAAAAAAAAGAGTAAAAGTTATGGCGTTTGACTTTGTTACAGTTTTTTATCTCACCCTATATATTGAAGGTTTTATTAACAACCCTTTTTGTGAACCAAGTCTTATAAATTTTGGGGGAGATTTCTCTCAATAAAATATCAATCCAAAAAAAATGTTTTTTTAATGAATCCTAATATTGTTATTTTCCATTCCACCACGGTACACCCATTTTGCAACACCCTGTACATGTTTCGCATACATAGATATAGGCCTTTTAATACATAATTATTAATATTTATATATACTTTTTTTATATATATTATTTATATTTACTTATATTTATGAAGATGCTGCTGTTGAGTTTTCTTATTTTTTTTTTTTTTCTTAAATGAAAATAATGTGCCTTTCTTCTATGGTTGTCGATATTATTTTCTTTAAATTTATTTCATAAATTTTAAATATCTATTGGTTTTAACATAGCTTGTTGTCTTGTCTAAAATTGTTAAATTTAATATTAGTAAAAACAGTATTATATATATTTTTTAATTTTTAGTGCTCCCCATAGAGAAAATGAATACAATACAATTATGAATATTATAATTCCTTTTTTTGTTGAGTTTCGTTTTGTTTTTTTTGTTTTCTTATAATTAGAATTTATCAATCAAAAACCTAGTTCGTCGAAATTGAAAAATATAAATGATCACAACATTTCCTAACGATTTGTTTGTTTTTGTATTTTTTGTGAAAATTAAAAAAAAAAATTATAAATATGATGGCAGACTTGAAAAAATAAGTTTAGAATATATATATTTTTAATGGACTCAATTTTGAAAGTATTTAAAATTATATATAAAAAGTCCTGTAATTGAAGATCCTCTATGATTTGAGAAAATATTTCTAAATATTATTGAAAATAAATCAAGTCCTGATTTATATAAACATTAAAATTTAAATATTGTAAATGTACAATAAATGTATTTTTTTTCAGATATATTGAGAAAAGGAGAACATGTCGGTAAACTTGAAAAAAATCATTTTAGAATTGACTTATAATTAACGATCCTTTTTTTTTGGAGAAAATATTTATTAGTATTATTGAAAATGAATGGGTCCTGAATTTTCAGTTCCAAGATGTAGAAGAACAATAAATAATCGAAATAATCATTTTAGACTATACGTAAAAATTGCATACCCCTTCTATGGGGTCGTAGCAAAACTTAAAGTCACATTGAACATTTTTTTCATGACAAGTCTTTTCCCATTAGTGGTTCCAAATGATAATTTTCAATTGAATCGATTTGAAAATGTTACTCGATACCACAAAATATGGACAAATTTCCAAACATACCAAAAAATGTTTAGAACATGAAACTAAGTCCATATACAAATCGATTGAGGGTTTAGAAACACCTTACAGTACCTTAGTATAAATCAATATTTAAAAGTGCAAATAATTTTCTGAATGGAGGGTTTTGTCCCGAAACGGGGAGCAATTTCAAAGTTTGAATCCACATGGCTCATTTTCAGCACAAAATATCCAAATAGATACAATTTTTAGAATGATGCAGAACATAAATTTGATCTTTTTTAACCAGATTTTTTTTAATAAAAGGCGTGGCCGACTTTATGATACCCTATGCATATTTAGTACAGCTCCCGTAAAAAAAATAAATATTTTAAGTAGATCATACCACCTATTAACATTTGGCTTTAAGAGCAGTTATAGTTTGCCATAGAGTGCATGATATCACTTGGAGATGGATTATATTAAAAAATATATATCGGGCCCAAGCTGCACAAAATGGAAACGTATGTCCCGAAATGCACTCCATTTGGACTGATATTAGGCATTATTTGCACAATAAACCTGAAATCGGATTAAGGACATATTAAGGACAATTGGACTGATATAAGCCATAATTTGCACAACAAACCTAAAATCGGATTAAGGACATATATGGGAGCTATATCCAAATCTTAGCCGTTCTCGACAAAATTTGGCAACCGATTTACTCCGAATTCGATGTACTTGCTTCAGACTGAATTCGGTCGCACGCACCAACATTCAGGACTTTTGGACTGATATTGGTCATTTGGTGCATAATTAAGCCGAAATCGGTTGAAGATATGCTTAGGAGATATATCCAAATCTCAACCGATCTTGACAAAATTTGATACATTTATTTCAGAGCTGTATCTGATATCTGGAACCAAATGATTGATGGAAACTAAATCACATTTAACTTTGTCATTTATATAGCAAACTTTGAGGTGCTTCCAACTATTTTCGAATGAAAATACACGCTACACGATTTCTAGTGTAGCATAAATTAATACATTCATCATATAAGTATAGTATAAATTTAAAAACGTTTGTTATACAGCATTACGCTCAAAAGTATGTTAGATGTAATTGCGATATAGTAAATTTACATATGATTCTCACATCATGTGGTAAAATAAATAACCAAATTTGACAGATTTCACAAAAATCAAAAAGTACCTCAATCTGACACAATTCATCGATTACAAAACACCTCGAATCTAAAATCCAGGATTTAAATGTTATCACGGGAAGATTTCTTTCTATTCAAAAAAATTGTTTTGAAAGGATCTCAAAAGTATTCAAATTATACCAAATGGGTTGACAAACTTAAAGGTCGATTTTCCTCGTAGAATCGTAGGAGAGAAATTTAAGTTCAGAGAACTCTGGATTCAAACGGCTTAAACATTGTTTTATTTCATTTTTTGTGTAACCCAAAAATTTGATTTCGAAATATATGGAGTCTAATAATAGCCCAAATAAATCCAATCAAATGATCTGCGATTTGAGAATATTGCAACACCTTTGTCAAAGACAGAGATTTCTTGCTACAGTATGCAATAGCATACTTTTAGGAGCTGTGTTTTTTCTAAATTGAGTTCTCACTCCCAAATTATTCAAGCATAATAATTATTTTGGGCGAAACGAATGGTATTTCCCTCATTTAAATTTGTGGCTATATTGTATTAGCATTTGATCTGCTCTCTCTCTCTAAATGTCGTCAAATTGACGTCAATACAAATTGTATTTGAAATTATGGAGGAAGAGGAAGCTATATATATCCCATCAAATTCTCGCCAGATTGAAAGTGATGGAAAAAGTTAACATATATTTGCCAAATGCAGATCAATTCTAATCAGGAAAAAACTGCATACTTTAATACTTTAATTAAATTTTTTCTCTTAACGAAATTCACATTCTCTAATTATTGAAGCAATATAATTATTTTCGACTGAAATCTCGCTCCGAAGAGGCCATATAAAAGTCGACCAAGGCGATCGGCCGAGAATATCGCTGCCGTACGAGCCAGTGTTGAGAGGTCCCCAAGAACATCCCAAAAACGCCGTTCTCAGCAGTTGGGCATGGCTCGGTCCACTTTACAACTGATTATTCGCATTGACTTGCATTTGTTCCCGAACAAAATTCAATTGACGCAAAGAATGTTGCCTGCGGACAAGCCTCGTCAATTGGAATGGGCCCAAAGGTCCGTCGAATATGGGCAACCCTGTATTAGCATTTGAGATAGGGCTTTTCATTTTTGAATCCCCTTATTACTTTCTGTAGGCCCTTTCGGCCCGATTTCGTAAAAGAAGTTTACTTTAATCTGATTCATTTTTGCATTCATAAAAACTTCTGTACATTCCGTAGGTTTTATTATGGTCATATTTCACATTTAGACAATTTTCCAATGGTTCCCTTCTTTTTGGTTCTTTTACTATTTTGCTATTCTTGACAAAGCACCGCTAGTGTATACTAAAACCTAGAATTAGACCAAACGTTTAGAGCTATTCAAAATTACATTATTTAATATTTAACTCATTACTCTCTTGTTTAATCTTTTTCAGGTTTGACTTCCTTATATTTGAAATTGCATTCTGGAAACTACGGAACTTTTAGGCACATTACTACTGTCTTCCGTAGTTGGTTTCAGACCAATCTTATTAGAATCAGCACATGCTGATTAATCTGGTTACCAAATTACACAAATTGTTTTCAATAACACAATAAATATTTTCTCAAAATACATTTGGATCATTCCGTTTCAACTGCCCGCCGAGGATCTTCAAGGACTCTCTGAGAAGAAGAAGAATAAGAAGGATAATTATTTTCATTAGTATTCTTAAGATTATCACTATTGCTACTACTTCTATCACTTCTTACAGTATCACCATCACCATCATTATGACCATTGCTGCTGCCATCGCTTGCATAATGATGACGATGATAAACATTATTATGCTCCCCCTGCTCCTCCTCCTCCACCACCTTGATGACAACTGGCGAAGGAGGATTGTTAACCGCAACAAATATGTGGCCAAAATACACCACATACAGGTAATAGAAAAATATTAAACAAAAAATACAAAACAAACAAATGGCTAATTCTTATCTCTTACGTCTTTTGGTTTTCTTTTTTAAAGCCCCCGCTGCTGTTGCGTTGAGGGTTAAAGGTGCAGCACCGGCACCCCCAGCCGCCACCATTGCTGCCATGGACATGGGGAGTACAGATGTGGAGGCAGTTGCCGTTAGGCCAGCTGCCGAGATCAATGATGTTGGTACCAATGGTGAGGCGGCCGTGTCGTCACATTCATGATGGCGTCCACTGCCACCCAGCTCAACGCCACTTTCTTCAGCCGATGAAGTGGATGAGGAGGTGGCCGCTTCTATGGCAGCCATTAGATTGATTTTATGTTCCAATTTTTTGGTTTTAATTTTATGCTGTTGATGACCGCTGCCAGCTCCAGCGGAGGAGTTAACAGCCGAAGGCATTATGAAGACATTATCATCCGAAGTTGTGGCCGGCATGGGACCCTCACTGTCCGTGGTGGTCGAGTGATTGAGGGTATTCGACTTACCAATCAGGGGCTTCATGGTAAAACTTTCATCCAGCAAAGAGGGCAATGGCGAAGTTGAGGGATTGACAGCGGCAGCAGAGGCAACATTTTCAATTTGTGATTCACTCATGGCAATCAAGGGCCTCAGCTCATCATCATCCACATCATGGTGGCTGAGATGGGAGGAATGGTGATGATGATGTTGTTGCTGCAATTGTTGTTCCTTTTGTTTTTGCAATTCCAGCAATTGCTGTTGGCGTTTGCGTTTTTGTTTCTTGGTCATTTTCTTCTCCTCCATAATGATGATTTCCTCGGTGCCCGAGGAATTTGTGGAGGAAGAAAATTTGTCATTGGTTGTATTGGTGTTGGTGGTGTATGTGTCTTGAGAGCTTTGTTCCAAACTGATATAGGGATCGTCATTTTCGGTTAGCGATTTATAATCGGCCATTGAGGGTTCATCCAGGGCCGATGAAGAACGATTCGATGACGAGGGAGTTGTGGGAGAAACATCAGATTTCTCTGGAGTCACCCTGGACCGTTGTTCATTTTCATAGTGCAACGAACCGCAGAGAGCAAAGATGAGATTTTGTTCGGTAAAACCACGTGGCGGTGGTGTTATTTTACGTTCTAAGGCAGGATTTTCCTGGAGAGGACTTTCGAAATTAATCAAGCTAATGTCTTTGAGATTTGGACTGGATTTGTCGCTTAACAATTCCAGCGGCTCTAGAGAAGGCAAAGGTGGTAATGCATCCAAGGGTTTTAAGATGGGAAAATCATCTAAGGCCGTGGGAGAGTTTTTAGATTTCTTGGTGGAAGGTGCAGTTTTTGATGAACCCAAAGGCTCTTTTGCCTCTTTGGGAGTGGGCAGTTCGGGTAGTAGTTTTTCACTTGCCGTGGCTTTAGAAAATTTGGGTATTGCTCCTCCACTTTGGGAGGGAGACACCTGCGACTTTGTCGATTCCTGTTTGTTAAGATTTTGTGATATCATCTCCGCTCCACTCAAGGTCTTCCAAGCCGAGGCAACGGGTGGTGGTGGTAAAGTGGGTGTCATGGATTTTTCACCACTTGAAGTGGAGGGCTTTTTGTTTTTACCCGCACCATCCAGGGTGTCCTTTGAGGATGACTCCACAACACGAATTTTATATTCTTCTCCACTCGAACTGGATTCTTTTTTCGTGGTTTTGTCCTCAGCTGATTTGTCTTGTTTTGTAATGTTGGCCCAAGTGGTTTTCTTTTCGACTTCAACTTGAGTTTTGTTTATTTCTGATTTCGTTTCTTTTTCCTCTTTGGAAGGTTTCTCATTTTCGGATTTCTTTGTAGCTTCTTGTTTCTTTTTGGGTGAGGATGGCGGTGTGGTTTTAGTTTTCAAGGCTTCTTTGTTAGCATCTAAAGAGGGTTTGGGTTTTTCTGCCTCCGGGTCTTTTTCTTTCCTTTGCAGCTTAGGTTGTTCCACAACAACTTCGTCCTTTTTGGCTAATTTTAAAACAAAGGATTCTTTGGGTGAAATTTCTTCTGATTTTGTTTCTTTTTTGCTTTCGTTTGCCTTTTTCGGAATTTCAGAGATGCCTGGTGTTTTGTTGTTGCCTTGTTTTGGTTTTTCTTTTTCAGGGAGAGTTTTCAGGGGTTCTTCTTTCTTCGCTTCCTTGGTCGCCATTGTTTTGTCTTTGTCGTCTTTGATTTCTGATTTTTCTCTGTTGACTTTGAGTGAAGTTTTCTTGTGCTCGTCTTCTTTGCTGGTAACTATTTTTTCTTTATCGCTTTCGTCTTCGACCTTTTCCTTAGCCTCGGTTTTCTTTGTTTTTACCAAGGAGGTCTTATCGGATTCGTTCTTCACGGATGCATTATCAGTTGATGTTGATGTTTTCTCTTGTACTACGGCTTTATCATCCTTAGCTTTTTGCTCGGGTTTCTTTGACTTCCAAGCGTCTGCATCTTTTTCGTTCTCTTCACTGCCTTTTGTGGGTCTCTTTTCGACTTTCTTTTCGCCCAATTGTGATTTTTTCAATTTTATGGTGACAGTTGTCTCCAAAGATTTCTCGTCTTCACTTTCTGTATTACCTTTAGATTTCACTTCTTCGCCACTGCTCTCTTTGACACTTTTAGTTTTCTCATTTCCCTTCACAGGCTTTGCCGAAGGTTTTTCTTTTTCGCCTTCGGTACTCTCCTTTGTTACTTCAGATGATTTCATTGCCGACTTCTTGCTTTCTTCGCTCTTCACTGCAATTACTTCCGCTTTAGGACTCTCTTTTTGTGCTGTGTTCTGTTTACTCTCAGCTTCCTTGGTTTTGCTTACGGTTATGCTCTGCTTACTTTCGGCTACGCTCTTCTTACTCACAGCATCATCTTGTTTGCTATCAGGCTCGCTCTTTTTGCTCTCCGATACGACCTTTTTGATGTCGGCAGGATCAACATTTAATTTGGTAGCCTTTTCAGACACCTTTTGGTTAACTGTGTCGGGTTCTTCTTTAGATGTTTTCTTTGACTTTTCAGTCTTGTCTTTATTTTCATCTTTATTTAGATTACCTATAGCAGTCTTGCCGGTGTTCGATTCCAAACTTGTGAAGCCCTCGATATCTGAAGATTGAGTTGTTTTTGTTTGGATTTCTTTCGTGGCTGGTGGGTCATCCTTTGCAGTAATTTTCGAAGATTTAGTAGCTTCTTTCTTTTTGGGCTCCTCTTCCTTTACGCTAATTTTGTATTCTTTTATGTTTTCATTTTCAGATTTTGATTTTTCTTTGACTTCGCGAGTTTCCTCAACTGGTTGCTCTTTAATATCCTTTTTCTTTATGGCTTGCAATTGAGTTTTCTGCTCGGATTTAGAGTTTGGCTCAGGACTCTCTTCCCTCTTAGCAATTTTTTCTTGAGATTTTGATTTTTTCTCTTCCTTTAATTCATCACTTTTGGCTTTACGCTCTTCAATTTGACTGAAGCTGATATACATTGTCTGCTCCATATCTCGTTCCTTTCTCTCCAGCAAACTGTCGGCTAAATCTGTGGAACTTCCCTCAGAACTAAGAGAGGATTTTTTATTTGTCTCCATCTTTTCTTTTTTAGAGGTTGTAGGTTCTGTAGGTACCTCCACAACTTCCTCGGACTCAGAGCTGGAACCCGATTTTTGTCCCTTCTTTTTATTCTTTTTTGAAATAGCTGGCTTTACTTCAGGAGCCTTAAATATCTCCACGGCTTCTAAGACGGGTGTGGTTTTTTCTTCCTCAACGTCTTTCTTCATTTCCTCTTCTTGGCTATCCAATTCTATAAGGCTATCAGCCAAATCTTTGACATTTAATTGTTCCGTCTTTACCAAGTTGGGTTTGGGGGAGTCATTCTGGATTTTCTTGGCAGTTTTGGGGGATTCGGCTGTGTCTAATTGGGAGCTTTTGTTATCATTTTCCTTTGGGGCAGTTTTCTCGGATTTAATGGCAGCTTGGGGGTTTTCATTCTCTTTTAATGCAACTTCAGACCTTTTGACCTCTGAGGAGGTTTTACAGGATTTTTCATCTTCCTTCACCACTTTCTTAGTTTCTTCTTCCTTGGAATCTTCCTTAATTGTCTTCTGATTATCATTTTTTGGTGTAACTTTTTGAGTAGCCCTGACTTCTGCAGGTTCCTCTGGTAATTCTTCAGATTCCTTAGATTTCTTGGCCATTTTCAATATTTCCTCCTCCTCCTTCTTCTTTTGTTCCATTTCTTTTTTGTTCTTTTCGGTTTCCTTCAGTTTGTTTTCTTCCTCCTTTGCCTTTTGTAGTTGTTGTTGCTGCTGTTGTTTTTTCAATTCTTTTTTGGTTAAAGGCTTTTGTGTTGCCGGCTTTATTTCAGCCTTGACGGGAGTCATCCTCTTAAACTCAATTGGCTTATCATCCTCTGACTCATCAGTGGTCGTAGACGATTTCAAGGCCTTTTTTGTGGCGTTACTTGGTTTGGGACTCAATTCTCGTTCGGGAGTAGCATTTCTATCCTCCTCGGAATCATCTGTGGTTGTAGAAGTTTTCAGCGATTTTTTGGTCGATGGTTTGGGACTCGATTCCTTTTCAGAAGTTGATTTTTTGCTTTCACCAAATGGGTTGGGTTTTGTTGTCTCTTTGACTGCCACCTTCTTCTCTACCACCAATTCTCTTTCTTCACTTTTCCTCGATTTACTCATTGAGGTTTTATTTTCGGTTTTTGAGACCGGCAAAGTCTCTTCTTCCGATAAAGACTTGCTCTTAACACTCTCTTTTGTTTTGCAGGAAGAAGAAACTGTCTTCTCCTTCTCTGCTGTTTTTACTGACTGAGAAGATGATTTTGGGAGCTCTTCCTTTGTCAAGTTCTTACTCTTCTCACTCTCTTTAGTTTTCACAAGAGATGACATCGACCTTTCCATCACAGGCATTTGCTCTGAGACTTTTTCCTTTTTTAGTTTTTCATCCTTCTTTTCAATTTTCTCTTCCTTGCTCTCTACGCTAATCGTTTCCTCTTTTTTCTCATTTTTTGCAACACCTGACTCTTTTGCTACTTGCTCTTCTTTTGCTTTGGGCTTCTCTTCCACTTTACATTTCCTATTCAAAGAGGAAAGCTCTTCAAATTTACTCTGCTGCTCCTTGGCTCTCAATGTCTCACTACTGCTATCTCTTTGCTTTGATAATTTATTTTTTTGCTTCTCTTTCTTATTGAGAGCATCGTCGACCTCCTTCGCAATAACGGGTACAATTAATTTATTACTTATATTTTCAGGTGGTTGACACAACTCCTGTTCTTTGCGCGCATCCTCTTCCTGTTTGAGCCGCGTTTTTTCATCACAAAAGATGGCCACCACAGGGCGAAAGAGACTCTCATCGCAATTCTCATGAATCACAGTGTCTTCTGCCGCCAACTGCGAGACTACCTCATCCAAGATGTCGGTTTTAACCTCGGCCGTGAGGCACGAAGTCACCGTGGTGACTGTTCCAAGGGGATTCACTATCTTCTCTATGGACACATTGGGTTTCTTTAGCGAATCTATGGACTCATAACTAGAACTATTATCATACGAATGGATATTGGGTAAGGCCGATGCCAGGGCAGCTGCCGAGGCATTACGATTGTGGTGCAGATAATCCTTGTCCTGGTCATCGTGATCGTAGTCGTCGTCGTGTTCGGCCAATGCATCGTAAAAGGCAATATTATCACTAGAACACCCTGTCGTTTCACAACCACGACCTCCTAAATTTGTTGGTGTTGTTGTTGAGAAAAGCAAAAAAAGAGAGAAAGAGAAGAGAAAAAATACCATGAGAAAGAGCACATATCCGTTTGATTTTGGGGTTTATTTTAAGAGAAAAAAGCCAAAGGCATTGGTATTGGTATTTAGTGATGGGTTTTTGATTTCTTGAGTTGGGTATTTCGAATGAAAATGAGAATTTGCATTTGAAGTTGCTTGTTAAACAAAAGGTGGTTTTAGTTAATAGATTTGAAACGAAAAGCGCATTTAAAATGTAGTACGAAACAAAATATTTGATTTTTTTTGCCCACTTTAATTTTTATTAAAATTTACGAAATACGGTGCAAAAATCTAAGTTAATTATTGTTGTTGCTGTTTTTTTTACAAAAGAAACTAAAAGAGGGAAATTAAAAAAAAAGTGATTCTAAAAAAAAAACAAAATATTTGCAAAAAACATGTTAATTTTTTTTATACGAAAAGAATTTATTGTGTGTTTTTGGTGGTGAAGTTTTGGAAAAAGAAATAATTGTGTGGATGAATTTAGTTTTTTTAATTGAATTTTTATTCAGTTTTCGAGATATTGGTTATTATAAAGCGAAAGCTTCTTTAGCAAAATGTAAGACCTCATAATCTTTCATAATGGAAGCCGAGAGCGACAAATATTGGGTAAAATGTCAAAATCATTGGGCCTTGCTTCTTGAAAAAATTATCGTAAAGAATCAAGATATTTGGTCAGAAGTTCTTGTAAAAATATTCTTTAATCAGAAAAATTCTGAAAATATTCCCAAAGAACTCGAAAAATCTGAGATTTCGGATTTTTTTTTCTTCAAAAACAACCTATGGCTTTCGGCCAAGAGTTGTTGTAAAAATTAATTTCGTCAGGAGGTCCGTTTTAAAATACTCTTAAAAAACCGTGATTTTCGGTAAGGCGACCATAAAAAAATACTAGGGTTTTGTCTTGAAAAAGGTCCTAAAATAATTTTTTAAAGAAGTGCACAATTTTTATCCAGGACATTTCTCGAAAGTCTACTATTCTAAAATACAAGTAATGACTAAAGGGCCCCAAACTGCTTACGTCCCTGATGAGCCTTAAAAAAACCAAAAGGATTGTCGAGCGGGCCGACTTTTTGATACCCTACACCCTTTACATATTTAGTAGAGCTTCATATAACAAATAAAAAATATAACGAATCGGATGAACAATATATATCGGAGCCATAGTTAAAACCGACTTTCATAAAATTTGACATACTTGTTTCTAGGCTCGATTTGGTCATAAGTTTTAAATTCCATCCCATTTGGGCTAATATTACACGTTTGGTGGCCAATAAAATGCAAATCGTACGAAGAGGATCTCGATAAAAATTGGTGAAGGTATTCCTGAGCTGTATTTCATATATTTCCCCTAATATCGTTGTTACGGAGTGCATATTACGGCTGCGGAGAACAAAAATAACACATCGGATGAACAATATATATGGGTGCTATGGCTACATCTGAACCGATTTCGTTCAAATTTAAATAAAAGACAAAATTTTTAAATTTTGACCGATTATCTCCAATTTCGATAGGCTTCGACCTTGGACCAAACAAATATTTTTAGCAAAGTTTCATCGTTATCAAGCAATAAATGCGAGCGATACATGTTAACAAATATCCATGGACAGACGGACATGCATAAATCGACTCAGAATGTGATTCTTTGCGGATGACCACCTTGTGGTGTAGGGTATAAAAAGTGTACATTTTTATGGGCCATACGAAAACATGGATGTCTACCAGAGAAGGTGTTGCCTATGACGAACTTGAAACACCAAGTTAATTCCATTGATAAATGTAGCTAAAATCATAAAAATACCGAATATTGGGAGGTATTGTTATACTAACTGCCAGGTACAGTTATATGGAGGCTATACCAAAAATGTGGACATCTATGTATCCCATTTTCAATACCAAAAGTCTTGAAGATCTAATACACATCTGAGTAAAATTTTATCAACCCACTTTATTTCGTTCGGAAGAGAAAGTGATTTCCACCGAAAGACGAACATCGGACAATTTTACAACATTTTAATTAATATTCGAATTTCAGCAACATTTGACCAACTTGTAAATAATTTGGACCAAATCGCAACAACTTGGCTTGGGAAAACACCAGAAGGGGTGGAGGAACATAGACCATATTTCTGATAAGACTCATGTGTTGGACGACCTTGTCCACTTGAAGACCAATGATCGGTACCAGAATGTCGTTGAAACATAATCCGGTTTTAGGGTAGTAAACGATTCACACGATCTCTGATACAATCTTCTTTGAGGTGTTACAAATGAATTGGCAGAATTATAGTTCATGCTTTGGCTGCTCTCTTTAAATGTGAATTCACCAATAAGCCATTTTGCCTGATCCGATGATATCAAGTAGTACTGTCTGCGAGGCGATTGTAGTTTGTAAAATCAATAAAAACAGGGCCTCCAGGGGAATAACTTCTGCATACCAATATCTCGAAAACATGTATTTCAATGGAAACAAAAATATTTTTACGATTCCATTTTGTCTTACTAATATTAAGGCAAAAAGGTTGATGCATCGCCAACCTATTTTTTTATTTATTTTTTTATTTTTAACGAAATGATGGCCAAAGCAAAGGCAACCATAAGTGTTTTTTTATTGTTTTTTTTTTTCATATAAAAAAATAATCATTAAAATATTTAGCGGAAAAAATACAAATAGAATTGAATAACATTAACAACATTTAAGCCGATTTGAATGGAGAAACACAGGTTGTATTTCTTTAATCTTTTGTTCTAAGAAAAGCTTTTAATTTTTATTTTTCAAAAATGTGTTTAAAATTAGGGGGAGATTAGGAAAAACATTTATTGAATTGAAAAGTAAAAAAACTCAACGAACGAAGGAACGAAACTTTGGCTTTTTATTTAAATGTAAACAATAGTTTTTGTTGTTGTTCTTTGTATATGGCAGTGCTTTTTTAGAAACGAATTTTTTTAGGGGGGAAATTTTCTTCTTTCTCTCTCTCTCTCTCTCTCTCTCTCTCACAGTAATTGAAAAACTCTTTCTCTCATGTTTTGCTTGCTTTTCTCTTTTTCTGCTGTGAAACAACTCTCTTTGGGAGGATATCACTTTTCTTTCACTCAAATAAATGTTTATCACTTTCACTTTAAATAAAATTTTTTTGAGGAAAAAATTCAAAAAAAGATAATTTTTCCATACAAAAATACAACCAAGGAATAGTAATGAAAGGAAATTAAAACAAATTTGTGTTGCTTTTTTGTTTTCTTTCAAGAAAATAACGAAAAAAATACACAAGCAAATTTTGTTATTTTTATTGGTTTTGAGTTGCTTTTTTATATCACTGAAATAAAAGCATACTTTTGGGAGGTTTCTTAAAAAAGAAGAAAAGAACAAGCAAACTTTTTTTGTTGATATAAAATAAAGGTTTTTATTCGGGTTGTACTTAAATTTTTTTGGGGGGATAGAGCATTTTTTTTTTTTTGATTTGGACGGGAGGGGGAGAAAGTTGGAAATGGATTAATAATGATTCATAGTGATGGGTGTTGGTAATTGGCTGGGGGTTTTGTTTATTGCCAAACTTTTTATAGAGAGGGGGAATAATATGTTAAAGCTTAAGCAAAGCTATTTTTTAGGAAATGTAACAATAGGAATGTTGATTGATTTGTTTACTATTAGAATTTATCATTTAATATATGAAATAACATTTGTATATAAAACAGTAAAAAATGTATGTTGTATATAAAGCTCACGTATACACTTATAGTATGTATGGTTAGATGAAGTAGTTTCACCAATTTGCGAATGTATTTTTTTTTAAGTTTCAAAACACACACACACACTTAAACACTTCAAGACAGACAAAAAATTGTTTTTGTTTTTTAATAATTTTTGATCTTTTTTTTTTCAATTTATTATAGAGTTAAACAAAATAAAAAGAAGTGAATGACATGCAAATTATCTAATAAATATTTAATAAATTAGTTTAACTAAATTAAAAATAACAACAAAAGGCTATAATCGACAAGGCCGACTAAATGATTTACTACACCTGAAATAAATCTGAAAAATTACTCTTTCTCCAGGAAATGTGAAAAATGTTAAAACACTGGTTGGAGACTTAAACTATATAATAATTAAAAAAAAAACACACACATTCATAATCAATGCGACTAAGGAGAAGCTACTTCCTCAATACTTCAGTGACATTAATTGAAACACTTTATACACAGTGACATATCAATTCTCAGTTATCAGGGATCGGTGCCCAGCTATGACCTGAAAACAAAATCAGTCCAAATCCAATCAAATCCAAGGAATTTTACATTTTCCCACAAAAGTCATCTCAGGGACTCAAAGAAATTATCTAGAAAAATAAAATGTAAAATCAATCAGTCGTCAAGGACAAAAAAAGAAGGGATTTACAGACCTCAGTTAATAATAATATTATTTCACAGAAGAAAATTAGATACAAAATTTCCCTGAAGATTTGAAAAAATAAGTCACTTCCCTAAAATCGAATAATTAACAATTTATTTACAAACTATTTTCAATTGCGTTTGCATGTGAAAATTGTCCAATATATTTAAAGTTACCGCTTAAAAAATATTAAAAAAGAGGATTAAACAGACAAATTTAATGTAATTATTCAACATTTATTCTAATTTGGATTCACAAATGTGAATCATCATTTTTTCGTAGCCGGAACTATGAATCTCAAAAAAAGATTATTAAACCTTCGAAACTAAAAATGTTCCAATGAAATCGAAAAGAGCTCCTGAATATATAAAAAAACCTGTCATTAATAAAAACCCGGTTAGAATTATGTACCACAGTATTTGAACAAATTCTGGTTTGTCGTCATGAGATATGTAAATGAGAAAGTCCCAAAGAAATTTATTAATAACTCCTTCATCAAATACTCATCGGGTTTTCCTTATCTATCCGTCGGGATAATTTGATTGCTACTCTGAGATTATTTGATGAGACGACTGTCTATAAGGTTCCTGTAACGTTTCCGTACGATAATCTCTGAGACCGTCTAGTTAACTGCTACTCATTGGAAGTTGCACCAAGTTTTGAGTCAATGATTCTACAGACACATCCATCCTTCTTGTGACATATTGTAGTAATCATTACTCTCACCTTGGTTAGAGGTTTAATAAATGAATCAGTTTATTGCATTGGGGTAGCCTCCTTAGAAGTAGGGTTGGTTTGTCATGCAATGTCAAAGTCGTTTTTATGGAAATAGCCAAACTCATACCTTTATAACAACAAGAGGTCGAATTCATGGTGACACAAAATCCCTGCTGCGCAGTGGTTCCTTAAAGTATTGAAATTGCCCATGACCTTGCAATGTTCCCATAACGATTATTTTTTGGAGGTGAAGAAATCAGGGGCCTATCCTTAGAATCTGAGGTAGAAGATTTTATTCGAATTGGCAAAGTTCAAACCGCCAGGATTTGATAGGTCAGCATTCCTGATAATGTTCTGGAATGACGTCCCCTACATTGAGGTCGAGCGGTGTTCAAAGCCTCTCCTCATTGTCTAAGAATTGGTCAACACAAATTTCGATGGGAAAAACCTTTTGAACTCTTTGTCTTCTTAGTAAGTTGGAAACGTTTTTATTGCTACCAGAACACTGCTCAGCTAAGGAGTGGGAAGAAAATCGGATATAACTAGGCTAAATAGGCAGGTCAGGTTCTGGATACTTGCTCTATAGAAATTATAAAATAATTTTTTTTTCCAAAAGAACAAAAATTGAAAAATTTCCGAGCTCTATAAGATCTATATGGGAGCTATTATATCCAAATCTGAACAGATCTCCATAAAATTTGGCAAAAGTATTTCTGAGATATATTTGATACATTTGTCCGAGTATCGTTGTTATGAAGTGCATATTACGGCTGTGGAGGAGAAATTTAAAAAATCGGATGAACAATATATATGGGACCTATACCTATATCTGAACCGAGTTCCACCAGATTTAACGCACTTATTCCCAGGCATCCAATTTGAACGTTTGGTGCACAATAAGAAGCAAATTTGACGAAGATATATATGGGAGATATATCTAAATTTTGACCGATTATCTACAATTTCAATAGGGTTCGTCCTTGGGCCAAACAAACGATTTGTGCAAAAAATATCATCACGATCTCGGCAATACATACGACTTGTACTTTGTTTACAAAAATACATGGACAGACGGACGAAAGGACATACATAAATCGACTCAGAATGTAATTCTATACAGATCATCAAAAGGAACTAACTACCTAACTCGCTTCCTTCTCTATGTTCCAAACAAATGCACAAAGACATACCACAGTCAAAGACATAGAAGTATAAAGATAGGACAAGACAGAGTAAAATATGGCAACCCTGTGAAAAATACCTCTGTTGTTATGATATCGTAACAACATAGTTACCAATGTTAAGCAATTTCAACCGCTAAGGCCATATGCAATTATATGGGAAGGTATATGGAATAGTATTTTGAAACCAATATTTTGTCTAGTCTTTACTATTTTAGGTCTTTGCCACAGTGGGGTGTAGGGGATATATAGTTGAAATTGTTACAAACTGTTGAATATGCAAAAGTTGTTAATGTGGTAGTATAATATGGTTTAGGGACACGAAAACATTTGACTGTTTCGAATAGAATGTTTGGATATTAAAACGTCCAGCAAACATATTCTCCTCTAGTAAACTCTGAACTCAAAATTATTGCACAGTGTTAAAATACAAACAGATCTCACTGAAGGAGAAATAGTTTGCTTAGTCGACAAAAAAAATATTTTATAAAAATAAAAAAATATCGGGCCAAAATCTAAGAAATGTATAACTACATCATTGCTTTAAAAGTCATAATGATGATTAGGTTCCTACAAAAAAAATGTATTTTTTTTTGTTCATAATACTGTATGGAAATTTCGAATTTTAAACACAGACGGATACTTAGAGACAATAGCTCGTTATTAAAACTGAAAAATAAAAGTCAAACCTTTATGAAATTAAATTGGCAATACAGTTACAACTTCTACCCCATTATTTAATAAAAATTCAAATAATAAAAAAGAAAATGTGATTAGGAAACAGAGACCATACTTTTGAAATGTAGACAAACTTTTAGGTGTACATCATGTGTATGGTTTCATTAAAATTTAATGTTATTTCACTTAATATGAATTGTAAAATAAGAAACTGGGATTTAAAAAAAAATAATAATAATTTAAAATAACTAGATTAATGCACCGCTTTCAAAAAATTTTAGTTGAACAATAAATAAACAAAAAACAAATTAAAAAAAAAAAAAAAACAAAACCAATGCCAAACAAATAGTAAAACAAAAATGAAGCAAAAATATAACGAAAATATCTAAAGGTCTGTTTCTGTATGACGAAAGAAAAACACAATTCCAAACGAGTTTTTAATAATTTTAAACTCATTTTAAAATTTGAAATACACATTTGAAATTGTGTTTTTCATCACACAAAAACAGGCCCTAAATCATTAACTACTGTAATTTTTAATAATTGGTAATTGTCAAAAAAAAAAATCAAAAACATGACAAAACCAAAAACTAGGGAAAATGAATTAAAACAAACAGAGAGTTAAGAAAAAGAGAAAAACAACTGGACACATAATATGGGTAAAAAAAATTGCCAAAGAAACTTACCAGATTCTTTTGATGCGGTCGATACGGAGGGTGATTCACGCATTGCATCAGCCAAATCTTCTTTTAGACGAGTATCACCATGCGCCACGGAATAGTCGGAGTCCAAGTGATCGTGGCGAAAACGGTCCATTAATTTGGGACTCTGTTCAATGCTGCCTGAAAACAAGAAAGGAGGAGAGCACATTAAATTTAAATCATTGAAATTAAATATCTCCTAAAACCTACTATAAGATCCCGATTCAATGAGCACGGGTACAGCACTGGAACGTCCACCAGCCGACAGGGGCATATTTAAGGGACTTGAATGATCGGGCTTTGTTGAAGCGGCAGCCTTGTTAGTGCCAATTTCAACAGCTTCGCTATCGACATGGCTCAAGTTAGACCTTAAAGAGAAAACAAAATGGGATTTATTGCCATTGCATCAATGTTTTTAAATAAACCACATACCCGCTGGGTGTATTATAGGTTTTGAAAACAAACTGTGGACCCATCCACAAACGACGATGCGGTCCAGCATGTGTTACAATTTCAACTTGTGCCAGCCAAGATTCACCCCGATCATCGGAGTCATCATATTGCCGTGTACTATCGGTTAACATGCAGGAATTGCGATTTTTCACCAACCAATTGTCCGAGGACAGGGGCGGCATTATCTCTTGAGATCCTTCTTTGCGTCGGCCCAAATTCCACTGGGCCTTGGCTTCAACTTCCAGTTCAATGGGTGTATCATCACATATCTTTTCTTTGGCAACATCTGGAAAGCAAAAACAGAATGATTAATTAAATAAAAATAAAATTTGAAACACATTTTGAAAATATTACTTGAGGCAAGTTTTGTATCCAAATCATATTGTATGAGAGCTCCATGTCCGGCCATGACAAACAATGAGTCTACGGCCTTCCTTTGCATGCGATGCGGAGCTTCTCGTGTCACATTGGGTGGATCCAATAACCATGATCGTGATTTAGCAAAAATGGCGCACACACTTAAAGGTTTGCCACTATCATCGGACAAGGAGGACAACCTTTGTCTCTGAGATCCCGAACCAGGTCCAGCTGGGCCAGATTTACCACCCGCCAAGGTGGCGGAGCCTGGTGGTGAGCCCAAGGCAAATGGCTGACGCAATTGAGCCAATGGCATTACCACTGTTGGTCTTGGATATGGTGGTAGTGTAGCATTGTGATAAGGTTGCAGAGACAGCGAGAAGGTGGTACTTTCCGAATGTGAAATGGGTGAATTGGAACGTCCTTCAGCGGAAAGACCAGCCGAACGATGGAAACGTGATAACTTATTCACCACATGCAGTGATGTGTGGGTTCGTACGCCCATGGGGCCACCATAGGGTGTAATGGGAAAAACATGAGTTGTACCACGCAACGTCGACACCGCAACCCAACGTGAATCCAATGAAAAGGCAATATTTTGCACTTTGGCACTGGTATCACCACGGTGGAGAACATACAAGTGGTGGACTGCCGCCAAACTAGGACCCACCGGATTGGGTTGTATGCGAAAGACATGGAAATCATGGCCTCTACGATCAGCTGTCACTAACAGCATGCCCGAGTTGTCGAATTCCATGGCCACCAAAGCCTCAGAATGGGCAATAAAGTGGGCAATTATGGGATCAGTGCCAGCAGTTTGGGCACTCGACATGGGTACACCCGTGGTGGGACTGTAATCTCTCAGGGGATTCTAAAAACGAACAAAAAAATCGGTTAACTAAATTTCCGATAGATAATAATTGGAATTACCTTTATATCTATAACGGTTATAATGCCAGGTTGTTTGGCATCTGGTCCGGTGCCCGAATCAAATGAAGTATTTTTCGAACTTGTACCACTGCCCGTGGTACCAGTCAACCCGGCAGCCACTTGTTCACCCAGCTCTCGCAGACCCTTCACCAACGATTTTGAGGCATTTAATACCGTGGCCGTATAACTGGCCACACCTTCACCATCACAGCCACCACCACTGCGCTTTGAGTGCAGCAATTTGTGTTCAGCATAGGCCAACCAACGAGGGCCTAAGGCCACGGGATTGGGGTTGATGCTAAAAAGAGGAGGACATACAATTAGCAACAACTTCATTAGAAGAAATTTTCAGAGTCAAAAAATAATTGGTAGCTGAAGTGCATTTCATCAAGCTGAGGTATAGAAAATCTTACCTCAGTGGCTGAGGTGAATTTGTTCCTATAGAAAACTTACCTCAGCTGCTGAAGTGAATTTTTCCTATGGAAAAACTTACTTCGGAATCTGAGGTGAATGTTTTCCCATAGAAAAACTTGCCTCAGCAGTTGAGGTTAATTTTTCCCATAGAAGAAACTACCTCAGAAGCTGAGGTGAATATTGTCCTATGGAAAAATTTACCTCAGCAGCTGAGGCGAATATTTTCCTATGGAAAAATTTACCTCAGCAGCTGAGGTGAATATTTTCCTATGGAAAAATTTACCTCAGCAGCTGAGGTGAATATTTTCCTATGGAAAAATTTACCTCAGCAGCTGAGGTGAATATTTTCCTAAGGTAAAATTTCTCTCAGCAGCTGAGGTGAACATTTTCCTAAGGTAAAATTTCTCTCAACAGCTGAGGTGAATATTTTCCTAAGGTAAAATTTCTCTCAGCAGCTGAGGTGAATATTTTCCCGTAGAAAAACTTACCTCAGCAGCTGAGATGAATATATGGAAAAAATTACCTCAGTAGCTGGGGTGAATATTTTCCTATCTCCTTTTGGCGAAAAAAGATATTTTCAATATTCTACTTACCCCGGACTTGGATAGCAGGTTGTTATGGACAAACGATCCTCCAGCGTTCGAGCATCAAACACAGCAATACGTTCATGAAATGTTATGACAATCGACGAACGATTGGCCAAGACATCGATGACGGGATTCTTAAATTTGATCGCTTTAACTTGGGTACCAGTCTTAAGGGATATAAAATTCACAGCACAAAACTGAGGCTGGGAGCCCGATGATGAACTGCCGTCGACCAATGCAATTAGTGGACGCTTCTCGGCAAATGCATCGGTTGGCTCATCGGCCCGTCCATTCTCTTCAATGCTCGACGATGTGGAGGGGGTGGGTAGGACACGCAGGGCCGACACAATGCCATGACGCCAGGAGAGTACTTCAACAGCTTCACCGTTGGCGGGTATGGCCCAGACTTGTACGCCCAGACCATAGCCCAAGATCAGCAGTAGCGGTGGTGCCACATTGCCATCCAATTCCCAGTCTTCTCCAAAGCGAGGATCACTGATGTCGGCGGCTGTCTCGAAACGGGCCCAGGTTATGGTATCTTTGGGATCTGTGTGCGGTTGATGGGCCAGCGTTACCTCATTGAATAATCCAATGGCCGAGTCCAGAATTGATCTGTCACTTACCACCTGGGGTGGTACAATCGAGGGTACGGCCACAAGGCCTCGTGCAGTGTTAAGCGAACGTCTTGGGGAATCGGCAGACATTTTGAATGCTTCGTCGTCTTAAATTTTGATTTGTTTAGGGGTGCGGGGGTGATAGGGAAGAAGGGAGAGGAAGTATTATCTCTTGTGTGTGATAGTTACTCTCTTTTATTTATTTATCTCCAGTTTTTTAGTTGTTCTTTCCTTGGATTAAATTTTAGGATTTTTTCAAATCTCTCGTTCGAAGTGTTTTACAACTCCAAGAGAGTGAAAAAATCGCAAGAGTGGTAGGGAAGAGAGCTTGCTCTCTTATTTGATTGTTATTCAATATTGGAGATCTCCAACCAATGAATGAATTTGATTTTTTTGTGCAGTTTTATTTTTTTTTATTGATTTTTTTCTTCTTTTGTTGTTGTTGTATTTTTCTTGTTGTTGTTGTTATTTTGTTATTAATTTTATTTTTCTTTTAATTCAGCAATCAGACAGTTGCTTTTGTCGTCGTCATATAACTGGAGACAGTCTGTCTGCTGCAGCAGCCAAGCCTTATGGCTGGAGGTGTTCCGTTGTTTCGGCAACAGCAACAATCTTTTGTTTTCACGACTTTCGATCAATACTTTTTTTCTATATTTATTGAAAATGACGTTGCAAACCAATTGCGGTGTGATATTTTCTTGTTCTTCTTCTTCTTATCGTCGTCGACGTCGTCAATTTCTGCAAAAAAAAAGAAATGAATCGGATTATTACAAAATCTTAAGTGCAGTTGGTTTTATCTTGTTTATTTTTTAATGAAAAGAAGAAGAAAAATAAAAAAATACAGAAAAATTCTCAAGAGTCCTACTTGAAATGGATTGACAGCCTGGCTTTGATGATGGCAGCAAAAGTGTGGAATATTTTTTCTTTCCTTTTTCAATGAAGATATTGTTTCAGATTATTCATTGGCTACTACTTTGTGGCTGCATTTTGATTATTTTGTTATTCGTCATCAGCGGCACAACTTTGTTTCATTTTATGGTGAAAATAGGAGAAAAGTTTCAGTTATTTCGAAACTTATATGGGAGTTGTGAAATTTAAGTATTTTGATTGCAATATCTTTGTGTTTGTAAAACATATTTGCGTTTTATTGCAAAATCATGCCAGTGAGGGACAGGAGGTTCTTCTATTGGTAGAAGTTCTGTAAAAGGTGCCTTATGTATCAAAGGTATCGTACCTATTATATTTATCTATATAACTGAAAGAGTAGTGAAATAACTGACTGCGAATCAACGCCCAGACGAAACGACTGAAGCTAGAATCTTGAAATTTTGCACGAGGGTCAGTCTTTGTGGATAGGCGTGTGATAAGGCTGGGTTTCGGAAATTCGTTAAAAAGGGTACGAAAAACACTAAATAAGAGTCACTTATGGAGTGCAGGATAAATGTACCAAAGCTTTTTTTTTGAAAATTCCACCATTAAGGCTACGTAAAGTTCTAACATGGTACTAAATTGCAAAAATGGTACCATTTGGTATTATGTAAACGGATAGAGCTAAAAACTTTAAATATGGCATGAGAATCAAGGTTGGAAAGTAAGTTTTATATATGAACGCGGCTTTGGAAATGTGTACTAAATGCGCGAACTGTACTAAATAGTGCTAAATTAGTAACAGGTAACAGTAGTAAATTAGTAGGGTGAACTGATGGAGCTGGAGTTTTGAAATTTTGTATTGCGGTGATTGGTTTGTGATATAGAGGTGGTTTTGGAAAAATGTACTACAAGAGCACGAAAGGTACTAAATAGTACTATATATGGTACACTTTGGTATTGAATGCTTGAAATCTGAAATTTATTATTAGGGTCGCTGTTCATGTGTAGTCTGGACATATGGAGGTGGTTTCGGAAATGTGCACTATAATTGTACAAAAAGTACTGAATGCTAGTACTTTTTTTTGGCATTGGGTGAAGGTATAGAGATAAAATTCTGAAATTTGATACTACGATTGCTGATGGTATCTGAGATTTGGTGGTGGTTTGGAAATGCGTCATATATTTGTACGAAATGGTACTAAATTTGGTCTTAGGTGAAGGGATAGGGCTGGAAACCTCAAATCTGATATTGAGGTCTCCGTTGGTATGCGGAATTGAGAAATGGAGGTGATTTTGGAAATGTGTACTATAATTGTACGAATAATACTGAATGGAACTATATTTGGTATGGGGTGAAGAGATGGAGATACAATTCTGAAATTTGATGTATAGTTTACTGATGGTATCTGCGTTTGAGATTTGACGGTGGTTTCGAAATGTGTCCTATATTTGTACGAAAAGTACTAAATGGTACTTAATTTGGTGTTGTGTGAAGGGATAGGACTGGAATCCCCAAATTTGATATTGAGGTCTATGTTGGTATTTGGAAATAAATATGATGGTAGTTTTGCAAATGTGTACTGAAATTGTTCGAAAACTACTAAATGGTACCAATTTTGGTCTTGGTTGGAGGCATATAGATAAAATTCTGAAATTTCATATTTAGATAACTTATGGTATATGTATTTGAGATTAGGTGGTAATTTGGATATTCATCCTATATTTGAACGACATGTACTATATCGTACTAAATTTGATGTTGGGTGAAGGAATAGGGCTGGAATCCTCAAAATTGATATTAAGGTCTTTGTTGGCATTTTGAATTGAGACATGGAGGTGGTTTTGGACATATATACTAAAATTGCACGAAAAGTACTAAATGGTACTTATTTTGGTCTTGGTTAAGGGGATAAAGATAAATTAATGAAAACTCATATTTAGGTAACTGATGGTTTATATATTTGAGATTTGGCCGTGGTTTGGAAATGTATCTTACACTTGTACGAAAAGTACTAAATGGTACTAAACTTGGTGTTGGGTTAAGGTATAGGGCTGAAATCCCCAAATTTAATATTGAGGTCGCTGTTGGTATCTGCAGTTGAGATTTGTGGTCGTTATGGAAATGTGTACTATAATTGTACGAAAAGTACTAAATGGTACTAATTTTAGTCTTGGTTGAAGGTAAAATTCTGAAATTCCACATTTAGATAACTGATGGTATATGTATTTGAGATTAGGCGGTGGTTTGAAAATGTGTCCTAAATTTGTACTAAATGGTACTAAATTTGGTGTTGTGTGAAGGAATAGGGCTGGTATCCGCAAATGTGATATTGAGGTCTATGTTGGTATCTGGAATTGAGATATGGAGGTCGTTTTGCAAATTTGTACTAAAATTATTCGAAAAAGTACTAAATGGTACTCAGTTTGGTCTTGGTTGAAGGGATAGAGATAAAATTATGAAATTTCATATTTAGACAAGTATTGGTATATGTATTTGAAATAAGGCGGTCGTTTGGAAATGTATCCTACATTTGTACGACACGGTATTCAGGTCTCTGTTGGTACGTGGAATTGAGATATGGAGCTGGATTTGGAAATGTGAATTACAATTGTTCAACAAGTACTAAATTGTACTAATTTGACATTATGAAATGTTGGAATGAATCTAAAATTTTCAGGTGAACTTTTCGCTGACGAAGTAATGGACACTTGCAAGTGGGTACATAAGTAAGTAGAAAAAATTACTGGGAAATTCCAAGAGATTATGAATGTAGACCAAAAGGATAACACGTGAATCGGAGTTTTGAAAGTTTACATTGCAAAGCAACCTAAATAGATAGGGCAAGTTACTCCCTCTTCCATCCTTCAGGTATATTGCAAAGAAAAATACAAGGAATTCCAACCTTTTTGGTTCTTGTTTTAAATATGGTTAAAAATCTCACTTTAAACGGCCTTCATATTGTTCCGACTATATATACAAAGAGACTCATATAGATTGGGTTACATTGTGAAAAAAAAATTCAAGATAGAGCTTCAACATTTTATGGAGACATTCGGATTGCATCTGGAATCATTGGTACAGAATATGGGTCATATCGGTCCACTTCAGTCTATTTTTATGTGTTTATATTAAAACTCATGTCTATACAGCCGTGCTCGCTTCAATTGACTCATTGGAAGACAACATTGAGGGTTCTTTCAAATCTCACATTGTATTTCATTAAGGGGTTTCTTCGTTTGCTGACTCCGAGGCTCGAACTGACAACATTTGAATTTGTAGTCGGACATACACACTCTGTGACGACTTTATTCATTACTTGATAAAGAGAAAAGTAAGTGCTTTGTATTTTTCTTAGGAATAACCAACTTTTTTCAACCTACATGCAGAAGGCAGTTTGTTTACATTACATTCTAATTGAATATTCTGGTCCTGCAACTCCGAAGTTTTTGTTAGGTATATAAACCTTATATGTACATATCCCGCAATTATTCCTAGTACACACTTTATTCGTTTGTTTGTCATTAAATTACAGGTATATAATTAACCTAAAAAAAAAAATCCCGACGCATGCACCAGCACACCACCTTGCTTACACATGCACAACAAAACTTTCCCAACAATAACCGCAACTTGCAAAAACAAAACAAAAATCCATATTATTACTATTATTATTTACTCTTTTGCATTTTCATAATAAATGAAATTTGTTTAGTCAAATTGCACCCCATAAAGTATTCCTTTGTGTGAACGTGAAACGGGAATGACTTATCAATGAGTAATCGTCAGTTATTTACACACACAGAAAACGACAACGCATGCAAAAGTCAGGGGGTAAGTAGGCAGACAAGCTGACAGACAGGCAAACAGCGACGACACCTTTACCTACCCTAAATAAAACAGACATGAATTTTTGTTTTTATTTGTTTTTTTTTTCAATTGAGTGAGCATTTTAATGAAATTCTTAATATATTCCAATTTTAATGCAATGCAAATTGTTTAACAAAAATAATGTACAAAAAATTTGGATACACTGTGGGGAAAGGAAGAATAAAAACTTGTTAAAATTACATAAAGTAAGAATCACAATTTAGCTAATTAAAGTTTGAAATACTGTTTTTCTATGAAGGAGAATTCAAGTGTCATTTATTAGAATTAAATCCTAATGAATGAATTCCTGGCGTTTAGGTAGGACTTAGGACTTTTAACGCCTTCAGGGACCTGTAGTAGAATTTTACGACAAACAATTTGGTAAAATATTTTGATTTGCTGCGATCCCGTTTGAAAGGATTTTTTAGTCACTTGCTTGAATGTTGAAATTTAAGACACTATACACCTAAAATGCACGGATTGCGAGGAATCTTCATCTGAAGATTACCAAAAGTGTGGAAGAGGCGGAACCTTTTAAGACTTAGCGCCAATTTTCAAACAAATCAGCTTTTATTTGACATTTCAGGTTCTCATTGGGTAGTGTAACTCTTCGTAGAATAAAAAAAATCAATGTCAGTCCACTTTTTGGTATATCCCCAATATAAAGGTACCTTCAGTTTTTCGGTATTTGGAAGGATTTGGTCCCAATTTAAAAAAAAAAAAAACAGTAAAGAAAGTCTTAAAGTCGCGCGGGGCCGACTTTATGATACCCTACACCACTTTGCTAATTTAGTACAGTTCCACATAACAATTAAAAGTTTTTATGGGAGAATTCAATCATACACGCTATGATTATAATTTAAAGTTCAAAGGACTAAATATGCCGAAGCATATGAATCTTTTAAATTCGGACTTGTATTGCCCATTTGGTGCACAATTAATTTGAAATCGGATAAAAATATATATGGGAGCTATATCCAAATCGGAACCGATCTCGATA